CATGTTTACAGGTTAGCTTAGCATCCGCTGCTGTGACGACGATGATAACAGTTTGACAATCCATTTGTGGGACAAGTGAGCGCTGTCAATCATTAAAACAAACAGTGGGAATCTTTATAGTTGAAAACAGTTCATGGTTAAAATGCACGCTGTGAAAAAAATGTCCATCTTTACATTGAAAGTTTATAACGTAAAGCTAACTCTAATTACGCTAGCAGTGTAGTAGCAAAATAAGCTAGGCTACTACATTTAAAATGAAAGGTTAGGGTTAGGGTAAAATAAATGATCAGCAAGATTTAAAAAAGTATATCTCAATATTTTAATTCTGTTTGTTGGGTATTAAGAAACATCTTGATGCTAGCGATAACAATTAGCATCAAAGTTGCCCCTTGATCTAACCAAAGCAACTGATTGGCTACGCATTGAAAATATTTCTCTTAATCTTCCTATTTGTGAAAGGTTCTTTTTAAATGAACAGGACTGTAAAAACAATGAATCAAAAGGGTTCATACTTTTTGAGAAAAGATTAATCCAGGCTAGTTAGCTGGTAGCTATAGCACAAGCTAACACTGTTGTTCTACATAAAGTAGCTCATATAGAGAAATGTATTCTGTGTTTAATAGTATACAGAAACATTAGACTTTAAATACTATATTATATAACACATGTCAGGTTAACATCTGTGGTCGCATGGCTTCAGCTAGCATAAGATTAACTGAGCGTACACTGCTCTTATTCATTTAAACCCAGCTTCCTTGTGAGATGGACATTTTCTTCAAAGCATCTGTGTGCTCACCTCAACATGACTATCATTGTTGTTCTTGTCTGCTAGAGTCTGGATGTGACCAATCTTTCGGGGAAAGACGCTTTGATTTTACTAAGTGCTTAAACTAGATGTTGTGTATCCGAAACACTGGATGTGTGAGCAGATTCAGTGAGGACTGATTTGAACTTGTTGTGCTCAAAGTTGGGCACTGACGGAGCCAACGAAAAGAAACTTTTTATGTGGTGGTGAAAAGAGAGTGTATAAATTGTGAATAAACTTTGAAATTCAATGTGTTGATTTTTCATTTCAATACTTTTTCTCAAATTTGTTCACATGCAAACGCCTTCAGTTTTCATTTTTATCAAGTAGATTTTATTACTCTAAAGCGAGAATTTCAGGGAATTTTCTTTTCTTTTCTTTGTAAAGTTATTTTTGGGCCTTTTTGCCTTTTTTGGATAGGACATCTGAAGAGAGACAGGGAAAATCGACAGCAGGGGGGTGACATGCACCATAGGGCCGAGGACGATTCAAACCCACGGCTGCTAAAACCAGGACTTAATGTTGCCAATTAGGGTCTTTCAAAAACAGGACTTTTGCTTTGAGCTCTCGAGGAGCAAACTTTAAAGTCCCCATAAAATAAAAAAGATGTTGTGCCGGTTTTAATCCAGCATAACTGTGTCGAATGTTCATTTATATTTCAAATTCAATAAAGTATTATCTTAGTATTTTTACATCAAAATACCCCTATTTTTCTCTTCCTGTAAAACGCTTTACATGTCTGATGACTCATCCTGCACTCAGGGGCGTTTACTAATTAAGCAATTAAAACACTTTGTTGATGCTAACAGTCCAATCAAATCCATCGCTGTCCCGCCTTTTGTGATTGGTGATTGGTTTTATCGCGTTTCAGTAGGAAATACGTCACAACATGGCAGTTAAATACTCTCAAAGTTCTGTTTTACATGGACTTTAAAGGCTTTATATGTGATTTTTTGATCCAGCAGATGTCGCCCTTGAGCACCAACAACTCGCGGTGTATTGATGTGTTAGCATGCTAATGCTAGCGATCTTTATTATGCTCGTATCTTCACACTGCATGTAAATTTACCTGAAATGAGCGTGATCTAGAAACACAGTTAAGCAGTGAGTACAGTATGTTATTCTTCTTTTCTCTAGTCCCTCAATTAAACAACTTTTATATGTGAGGGGAGGAGTTAGCCGGCCGTCCAGGCGATGTAAACAAACTGAAGATAGGACTCTGAAAACTCTGAAAACATCACAGACAGTGGGACTCGGGTGTTACACCCATTGTAGACAGTCATGACTCACAGAGTTATTTTCAGAGGATATACTTGATTTATATTATATTTAATTGTGAAAAATTGCATATAAAGCCTTTAAGTTTGAGCATACATGTAGGTTTAATGAAAATTAGAGGTCTATTTTATGGCTTTATTGTTGTAAAGCAAAAACAGAAGAAGCAGGGCATGCAATACTCCAAAAAACGCCAAATATATACAGGACTTTATAATAATTAGAACAATGTGCTACTAAAAGTAAATGTATGGAAGTCTTTAATGTGCCGTGTGCAAAACAAAGGTAGCATGAGACATATCGCTCATGGTGTATCTTAAGACTTTTAACACAGCACTGCACAGTCTTATGTGGTGCTGCCACTGTTGGCCAGAACCCACTTGGTTGCGTTACTGGTCAGCTATTTTCAATAGGAGATGATTATCTTCTTCCATAAGCTCCGTTTTGAGGTTTTTCTCAGGCACCCGAACAGCATGTGAACAAACACCATCAAGCTGAACCACATGCAGACTCATTCCTACTTCTAAATAAGCCCTGTCTAAGAGACAGATGAGTCCCAGTGGTCAAAAAACAGATGCAGTGGTTGAAAAATAAACCTTTCATTGTGTTTATTTGTACATCAAATGCTGTGTTGGGGTGGTTATTTCCCGGATTTAGTACAAGTTGTGCATTACTGTATGTACGTTGCCATCTTCAGCTTGATGGGTACAAACATACAATAACAAGCAGCAGGAGTCAGATGCAAAAACATCATGCTCATTATGTGGCTATGGAGGACATAATTCCTGAATATAAATCCTAATCAGGAAAACTATTTAGTAGAGGCTTCATATCCAGTTTGTTTTGTTTCGTTTTAGATAGCAGTCAGTGGTCATCCCTGTTTTGAGAGAAGTTTCACTTCATAGAAATGGAATAAAATAGAAAACTACACGGTTCAAATGGAAGTCCAAAAACAAGGGGCGAACTAGCCACAGATAACACAAATAAGCCTTTTGAACATGTTACTACAAGCTGAAATTACATGAAAGTGTGCATTTAAATGTGAAATTTGTCCTAAGATAAACATAAATGTACATATACTGCAATATGCCAGAAGTTAAGGAAGTCTGCATGTGGTATAAGGGTGTTGAATTGAGTATCATGCACACCAGCGGACACTATATTATGCATTTAAACAGGCTGCATTTTATATCAGACAAAGTGTGCTGGAGAATATTCTGCGTTCTCAGGGGAATAGGAGCACTGAGGGGAAGGGAGAGAAAAATGTTTGATAAGAAACTTGTGCTTTATTTGTTTCAAGTGAAAGATGAGAGTGCAGTTTGAGCTAGTCTACCATGTAGGCTACTACATTTAAAATGAAAGGTTTAACATTCTAAAAAAAAAAATAAGTAAAAGAAATGATCAGCGAGATTTAAAAAAAGTAGATCTCAATATTTAAATTTTGTTAATTAAGAAACATCTTGATGCTAAATTTGATGCTAGTGATAACAATTAGCATCTAAGTTGCCCCTTGATCTAACCAAAGCAACTGATTGGCTACGCATTGAAAATATTTCTCCTAATCTTCCTATTTGTGAAAGTTTTTTTTTTTTTAAATGAACAGGACTGTAAAAAATGAGAAAAGATTAATCCAGGCTAGTTAGCTAGCTAAAGCTAATACTGTTGTTCTACATACAGTAGCTCATATAGAGAACTGTATTCTGTGTTTAATAGTATACAGAAGAAGTACTTTAGTACTATATTATATAACACATGTTAGGTTAACATCTGTCAGGTTAACATCTGTGGTCTCATAGCTTCAACTAGCATAAGATTAGCTGACCGTTCACTCATTAATCCAGGTTAGTTAGCTGCTAGCTAAGGCGCAAGCTAACACTATCCACTACAATATGCCAGAAGTTAAGTAAGTCTGCATGTGGTATAAGGTGTTGAATTGAGTAGCATGCACACCAGCGGACACTATATTATGCATTTAAACAGGCTGCATCTGAAAGATGAGAGTGCAGTTTGTATTATTTTATGACTTGGTGTGCAGGGTGTGCTTTTTAAGACCATGCAATTCACAGTGGTACCTTTTGTTTATTTAACCTTTATTTAACCAGATAAATAACCCATTGAGATCAGGATCTCTTTCACAAGGGTGACCTGGCCAAGAAGGCAGCAGTACACGTCATAAAATGGGCCTCAAATACCCCTTGAGACATATTCTCCCCCTAAGTCCTGCACAAAACAGATAGCCTTGACAACAGTTCTAACCCCCCTCCTGGTTGTTACACACACATTTTGTGTTCTTTCTTAAAAACGGCCTTTACTCTAAACTTGGTGTGCCATGCGTGAGTGACTTCTCCTCACGTTTCCTTGTGGTCGTGCAGTCGTTATGTTTGGAAGGGGAAATGATAGGCTATACGCTGCATGATTGTGAGCGCCAACTGGGTTTTAAAAACAAGCAAGAACTTGAGGGCTGCAGGAGACGAAAGCCTGAGTATATTCTCAGACATGTTTTTTGTTTTTGTTTGTTTTTTTAATTGGGATGTACTCAGGAAACACTTGCAAATTATTGAAAACTGTGATGTTTTGCCTAAAACCCCTCTGGCGACAAATATGCGTCAGACTGTTTGGTAGAAATTGCTACGTGAGATGCAATTGTCATAATTGAGTTCTTGAGGAATTTCTTAATGTGTGAGTTTGAGCTCTTGTTACTCAATGCCAGGAGAAATGTGAGCACCCTTACTTCCTGCACACATCTACCCTCCGCCTCCTCCTCCTCCTCCTCATCCCACACTAGTTTTGTTTTACTCTGTTTTTTGTTGTCTGAACTCCATCTTTGTGGGCCGAGCAAATAAATAGCAGGAGGGACCCTCTTCTTGAGCATTCCCCCTCCACTTCTCTCAAACACACAAAGCATCCTTCCGTCGACACCATGTGCACCAAAGAGCTGCTGCTGCTGCTCTTCGCCTGCTGTGTTTGGTCAGCAGAGTCCCAGGGCGCTGGAAGGAGACAAAACATCTGGGCTGAACCCATCAAATTCAGCACCAAGAGTAAGGACTCGTGCACCATGGTCGTCACTGGTCACGGGGAACACACCAGGCTGAGGCTGTCGTGCCAAAGCAACAAGCGCTCCTACTGGTGCGAATACCTGGGCAAGCCCAACACCTGCCGCTCCTACAGCAAGGACCCGCGTCACTACTTCGTCCAGATGATGTGGGACTTCAGAAAGCTCCACAACGCCTGCCTGGCGCCGAAGCAGATCAAGCCTCGCATGTGCAGGAGGGCGACTGACGAGTCCCAGATGGTTTTCTCGTCCGCTTCCTTCTCCAGGCAATGGCCGGAGGCTTCTACCAGGACAGAGGAGTGAGACCGGCGCAGCCTTCGAGATCTCAACCTCGACCTACGACGCCTGTGTCGACGAGGCACCCTGCTATTCCGAGATTTCCAACAAGAGTGCAGACCCAGCGGAGACCCGTCCCACAACCGACTGCACCTACAGTGGAGAGCAATCCGAAGAGGATCGCTCGGCTGTACTGCTGGAGGTCACTCCACGGCGTCTGCTCCTACGTCATTGGTCTGTTTCGTAATTAACAATGAAGGTGAGAATCTCTTCATCAACACACTGCTGCTAACTTTGTTGTTTTTATCAGTAATTTGGGTGTGCTGGTAGCGAAAAAGTGTTTTTTTTATTTCTTTAACAGTCTAAAGCATAAAGCAGGAAGTCATTACAAGTTCAATTTAAAAGAAGGTAAAAATGGAATGGTTAATTGCCAGCTGTTAGTTCAAAAAGAAAAAAAGAGGGATGCTGTATCTTTCCTAATATTTTTTACATTCAAGAATATATCATCTTCAAGTCACAGTCTTGTTTCACTCAACAGAACAATTAAATTCAAAAGTTGTAGTTTCTCTAAAACCCTGACAAAAGTGTATTTTTTAATCAAGTCTGCCTCCAGCATTCATTTTCATCAAAACTGAAACTTTTTTGTCTTTTTATTCCTTAAAGTTCATCACATATGCACAAAATTTACAACTGCATGTGCATTCCCCCTCTGTGTTTTATTCACAGATTTTACAATTCTGATGAAGATAACTTCTGATGTCTGAGTAAAGCGGCTCCTTGGAGGAGAAATACAAGACCGAGAAGACGTTTGATCATCCACAGTAGAACAGGAGCGCTCTCTACAGGCAGAGGAATGGTACTGCTGTGACATCCTAATAAAACCTCTCTCACTGAAACTTTAAATGCATTATTTTCCACAGAGAACCCGGGCTGCTCGGATGTATTTTTTTTGTCTCAAAAACATGTCAAAAATAAATATTATGCATAATGCTTCACACAGCAAGGTATGACATTATACTTCTTTCACTTGTGAGAACGTTTCTGCAGCTGCACAAACCTTCAAAACAAAATCAAAGACAGGACGTTCATGTATTTATATGTTTATATTACCTGAATCATTATATTTTCTATTAAGTATTACATTGTTGATTGTTTTATTCTGAAAAAGACAAACGTTTTCTGTACCGATGTATTTGACTGAATGATATTAAGAATGTGAAATTTCATTAAATCAATAAATGTTATTCTGTTGATCGGATGTATATTTGTGCTCCACCTTGAAAACAATCAACCAAGAGAAACTGAAAAATTGTTCACTCTTATAATGTTCGATAACAAATGAGCTGTTATATTGAAAACGACTGCTGCTCCATATCATTATGTCTCATAAAAATCATCATTATAGTCAGCCTGAATCTGAAAATCAGCTGCAATACCAAGTTCAGCCTGTAGGTGTCACTGCTGCTTAAATTAAACACACCTCAAAGTTCAGTCTTCAGGGAAATCTATCCTGTGCAACATATTTCAAGAAGTCATTTAATCTGTTGGCACGCTGTACCAACAGATGGTTCAGTGGATGTTTTAAAAGAGTCAGAGTTTTTTTGTACGTGTTTTACAAATCCCTAAAAAAGAAAAAGTTATCTCAAAGCAGGTAGTGCTTCTTACCAGTGTTGCTGCAGTCTGCTAGACCTGATTACTTTAGGTTTTGATATGCCAACATGAATCTGTTCAAAAACAGAAATGCTTTAAGTCTTTGCCCTTTGCGTCTTTTAAATTAGGTTTGACTTTAAAGTTGGTCTGGTGGCTGGAGAGGTGGCAGGTCTGGGGTGACTTTGAGCAAGGCACCGAACCCCCAACAACTCTGGTGCGCTCCCTGTGTGTTAGTGTGTAGCAGCCCTACTCGGACATCTCTCTACTAAAGCATGTCCACAAGTCCTGTTTGTGCATGTGTGTGTTTCAGGCGTATGTGTGTGAGAAGCATGTCGCTAAATAACAGACGGGTAAAACCAGAAGTTCCCCCAGGGATTAATTAAGCATGTAAAATGTAATTAAAATGTAATAATGAAACCAAAATGAAAAGAATGTACTTGCACAGTCTTCGTAATATAGTAATAAGTAAGGTCTTTTACCTGCTTTTTATAAAGTGTCTTGAGATAACACTTGTTATGAGTTGACGCTATACAAATAAAAATTGATTGATTGATTGACAGTTCATGAAGAAACAAGTAGATTAGTTTCTTGGAAATTTTGTTTGAATTAAATAAACTAAAAAATGATGAGAATTGGACTAATTGAAAAATTTATTTAAGATTTTTTAATGCAGATTGCTGATAAACTAATTTCACATTTAGCCTGTCCTTACAAGCTTTGATAAAATACCAAAAGTTATCTGCAAGATTTTTGTATAACCTTAACTTTAAAGGCTTTATATGCGATTTTTTGATCCAGCAGATGTCGCCTTTGAGCACCAGCATGAAACCAAAACAACTCTCGCTGCATTGTTGTGTTAGCATGCTAATGCTAGCGATCTTTATTATGCTGGTATCTTCACACTGCATGTAAATTTACCTGAAATGAGCGTGATCTAGAAACACAGTTAAGCAGTGAGTACAGTATGTTTTTCTTCTTTTCTCTAGTCCCTCAATTAAACAACTTTTATACACGAGGGGAGGAGTCAGCCGGCCGTCCAGGCGATGTAAACAAAGTGAAGATAGGACTCTGAAAACTCTGAAAACATCACAGACAGTGGGACTCGGGTGTTACACCCATTGTAGACAGTCATGACTCACAGAGTTATTTTCAGAGGATATATTTGATTTCTATTATATTTAAGTGTGAAAAAGACAATCTTGTAAGGTTCTACCGTGTCTCTTTGGCTTACTGGTATGAACTCAGCAAACTTTGTAAGCTCTCTAATCAAGCTCTCTGTGTGTGTGTGTGTGTGTGTGTGTGTGTGTGTGTGTGTGTGTGTGTGTGTGTGTGTGTGTGTGTGTGTGAGGGGAGGGCTGGTTCTGCAGCAGCAAACTGTGGCTGCAGGTGAAGTGTGCAGGACTTTACACCAACGTTTCCTCTGAAATCTGCAGGTATGTTAACTTGTCTATATTTGTCCGATGATATCTGATAAACACTTCAGTTTTAGTATAAATTTGTAGTTTAATTGGGTGGTATTATGGTGTGTTTGGTGGCTGCTCCATACCTCAGCTCTTTCCTTTTAATGTTTCTTTAATATCTCTAAACACAGAAAGCTTTAATATGGAACAAATCACATCAATGGCCTCGTTGTTTTCCTGTTTGTATCCCTCTTAAGCTCACACACAGCTTTTGTATCGTCGCTTTATGAGTCATTTTTAATTTCTATGCCCTTAATGCTGTTACTTTCTTTCTTTTCTCTGATTGTTTCCTCCCTGGCTCTCTTAAATAAAAGGATCGTATCTGTTCGACACTGCCTTTTTAAAAGTTTGGTTCAACTTTTTAATTCCTCTGTGTGCTCAGATTTATTCCTTTTAGCTTATTTAAATCAGCTTTTTTTAATTCATTATATTTAAATCCCATTCATTTACGTGCATTTTTTACTTCCTTGTGTCTTATTCTAACTTTTTCTTTAATCCTTTTTTTGTCTCATGTAAAGGACTTCAAACTGCCTTGAAATGTCTTAAGCTTTGAGCACACCCTCAATGTTTCAGCAGAAAAAACTGGCAGTTTCCTTCTGAAATGTAGGTCTAATAAAGGATTATGATGATTCCTTTTAAGAAGGGAAATGAAAGGGATTTGAGGTTAGATATATAAATCTGTATTTATCCTCTTACAGGGTTTTTTTTCTTTCTTGCTGGGTTTCATGGCTCTGCTCACAAATGTCGCCGTCCTGCTGCTGCTGGCTTGTTTCTCCCATCAGCTGATGTTGAGCAGCTGTCAGAAGAGTCAAGGACGGAGAGGGAGAGGGGTGGACAGAGGACAAAACAAGAACAAAACGGGGGTGAAGGTGGGCCGGCAACAACCCAAATCTGTGTCTGCACAGCCCATTAAAGGCAAAGTGGTCACTAAGGGGGAGTTAGAGTGCACCTGGGCGGCGACAGGTGAGGATGTCTTCATCCTGGGGGTCTCCTGCAAAAAGGGAGGAAAGAGCTTCAGCTGCGAGTACGTCTCCAGACCGACTCTTTGTCCCCAGTTTGCCTCAGATGCCAAACTCTACTGGAAGCAAATCGCCCGGGCTCTGAAGAAGCAGAAGAATTTGTGCCAGGACGGCGCTGCGTTGGTCAGGGCGGGGATGTGCAGGAGAGCTGACAGAGGAGCTCACTTCAGACTCCGTAACACACAGAGAAAAACAAAAAACGATCCTCCTCCTCCTCCCTCCCCGCAGCCTGCACCCGGAGCTGTCAAATCCTGTCAGTCTGACAACATGAAGCTGGCAGAGGAGTACTGCAACAGGTCCTGGTCCAGTGTTTGCACCTTCTTTTTTACCATGGTGCAGGATTATGACTGCTGAGACAAATCAACAACCGGAATAAAGTCACATCGATATCTGGCTAAATAATTCTTCTTTGCTGATGCTTTACCAAAAAATTCATCTATTCTCACAGAGTAGTTGTTCAGTAGAAGATGGCACAGCATTTAAGTACTTCTCCACATTGTTAACAGTTGTTTTCACCTCAATAAACACATTTTTATCTACTTTTAAATGTTGTTTGCTCCTGTGATAACTTTCTTTTTAAGACAAATATTGAATTATCCTGGGGAGTCAACATAGTACAAAAGCTATGAAACAAAGGTGTAAAAGATGTCTTCATTATTTAATGTCATATGTAAATGATTATATTTTGCTTTGGCAACATGTTTAACCCAAAAATGTCATGCCAATAAAGCCATTTGAGATTGAATTTGTAAGCACAGGTACCCTTGCACCTCTCATCTAAAGTAGTGTTTAAAGTTGTGTTAGCCTATACGATCTTAGACTGATGCCAATATAAAACAAAAACATTCTTCACACATGTACTCCTGAACATTTCTAGAAGATTTCAGGACATCCTGCCCCTGATATCTTCCTGACTTGCTTTTCCCCCACGTCCCTTTGCAGTGGGAAGTTTACCCGGTCTGACAGGAGGAAAGGGGGGCGTCTCAGGATGTAAGATGTAAGACATGATGAACAAAAGATGCAGCAATAATCCAAGATAGTGAACGAAGCAAAAGAGTATATACTTCAATGTTACAACGGACGGGTGGATAAGAACATACTTGCAAGTAAAAAAAGTGTAGGAAGTGTCTTCATTACGGCGCGGCACAAAGATGGCATGTCACAAGATACGTCATCACTCCTGCCTGCTTGCGCACCCTGACGTCACACAAAACGTGTAACGGGGCCTCCAGGACAAATGTTGCATTTGCATTCACACATGTAGCTCAACCCAACATTTTCATGAGCTTTTTGCATGTGTGAAAACACCATCATTTTTGAATCGATGATGCCATATATAATACTAATAAATACACGTTTTCCCCTCTTGAAAGCAGAGACTATCATGTCTTTATTTACATATTATGCATACTCTTATCATGCTGTGAATGTCACAATTTCCTTTGTGTCCAGATCTGTGTGCACAGTCTTGATTCAGGTACTTTCTTGGAGATCAGGAGCGTGAACATGTTGGGTGTTGACTCAGTAACTTAACCAGAGTGAGTGTGATTTTTTAGAGGTCTTGGCATGAATACTTTGGCACTGACACAGACTCTGGTTCCACAATCTCTGTGAGAAAACTTTAAAACATCACATGCTCGACTCATTCAGCAGGGTTTTGTTATGTATCAGATAATACAAACACAGAAATACTCAGACAATTAAACTGAAGGTTTTTACAATGTATCAGGATCATTTCATCTTTTCACTTCATTTAACCATCACTACATACCATGCACATATCATAACATGCATAAGTTGGCACTAAAAGTTGGCTGAAAACTGTGCAGTGAAGCCGATCTGTGTCTCTAAAGTTCAATTTAATTATGGCATTACATGAATTCCAAACAGCATCAGCTTTTATGGTTTCACAGCTGCGTTCATGTTCAGTGGAGGCTGGAAGGTTCACGTTAAAGTAGAAAGTAATTACTTAAGGCTCACTTGTCCCTTGACTTCATAATTTGAGTTGCTTTGGGGGAAAAAAAGTTGATTTTATAACACCTCCTGCAACTGTGCAACATTTAAGTTTTATTTATTTTTCTGCCATTAAATCAAAGTTAATCTAAGCTTGTAATATCACCTCTAAAACAGCGGACTTTACTGTCTATATTTGGTGTTTTTTTCAGTGTATATTTGTTGTTTGTCTTCTTTTCGAGGGCAAAATAACAACTAGTTCTCATAGAAAGTTTTATGTAAGAGGCAGACACACAAGCATCTCCAGCCGCAGCAGCCCCAACACTCAGAGCGATGCTGCAGCCTGAGGCCCGAGCTGTGATTTCAGAACAAGGAATGTCTCATTTTCCCTTCAATGATCTCAGCGTCATCTCCTGCTGCATCATAATGTATCGCCACGGCTACAATCCATCAAGCTCAGACTCTCTGCGGGGCTGCATTGTGGGACATATGAAATCCTTTAATGGCAGATGGAAGTAGCGTGGCTGCAGCAATAAGCAAAAAGTAAATGACAGGGCAGGCGGAAAATAACCTGCAGGAACATTATTGTGAATATAGAAGAACGTTTAGGAAGGAGATTTTCCTTCAAGCACATTTTTTTTTTACGCTCCAGCTGCTGAAAACATGAGACTTAATTCTGCTGGACAGCTTGTGTGAACACTGGAGAAAATCACATAGAAGTACTGAAATGACAGAAAACACCTGTTGATGAAATAACCTAAAGACATAACAACCTTTAAAATGCAAGCAAACCCAGACGAGAGCATAAAGACTCCATTATGTGAAGGTTTTAAAATGCAATAAAGCAGTTTTTATACTCCAGTATGCAATCATATTTATAACCAGAAATGTCTTCACCTTAACCACCAGCACATTTACGATAACACCTGAATGACCCCCTCTGATGGTTGAAGTCCATTACAAAGATATAAAATAACTCTGACTGTATATACTGTAGTGAGTGGACTGTA